CACTTAAATAAGCAGGGCCAAACTCCACGCCCCCTGACGGGAACCCTATCACTGGCCTTGCTCTGTGTGAACACTTGGGATGAGATCGGGCTCCAGGGGCTTGTCTGAGGAGCAAAAGGACACCGCAGCTTTCATGCCATTTCATTCGCTTGTTGCAATCTCCAATGCCCATGGGGACAGGGTCAGCAGTAACAGCGCCTAATTGTTTCTCACTCAATCCCGACTCAGTGTCCCCAGGAGGGGATAGCTTGAGCCCAGACTTAGCCTAACAAAAAACACATGAGTCCACTGGCAACTCACAGTGACCCAATGTGTTGCCAAGGAACACTGCTCCACGGGATCTCGTGACTCTTTATGGAGACACACAGCCAGCCCTTTCTCGCATAGCTTCGCTGAGTGGGTTAGAACTCTCAGCCTTTAGGTTAGTAGTTGAGTATAAATTGTGTGTAAGATCTAGGGACCGTAGACTTTCCCGGGGGGGTGAGGATGGGAATGACATGTTGCAGTTAATTCCAACTCCTAGCACCCCTGTGAGACGAGTCGAGCTGCCCCACAGCATTTCCAGTGCTACAATCTCTATGGAAGCAGGTTGCCACATCTTTCTCCTGAGGAACAACTGGGGAGTTGGAAACACTGACCTTTCAGTTAGCAGTCAAATGCTTAACCACTGTGCCACCAGGGTTCCTTGTAGACACCAGAAATTAGAATACATACGTCAAATTGGTGGTGGCTGGTGGTGGCTGTGTGCCATGGAGTCAGTTTCGACTCATAGCGACCCTATACAGGGTTTCTGAGGCTGTAAATCTTTACGGGAGCAGAACACCTCATCTTTCTTCCCTGGTACAGCTGGTGGTTTCGAACTGCTGACCTTGCAGTTTGCAGCCCAATTCGTAACCACTGTGCCACTAAATCCCAGTGAGCCGTTCTACTCTTCCTATAGGGTTAGGGTGGGTTGGAATCGACTCAACAATGTCAGCTTTTAAAAAAAGTTGTTTTTTTATTTGTTTTTATTTTTATTGTTGTTGTTAGGTACCATAGAGTTGGTTTCAACTCATAGTGACTCTGTGCACAACAGAATGAAAGCCTACCAGGTCCTGCACCACCCTTACAAGTGTTGTTACACTGGAGTCTATTGCCGCTGCTACTTGTTAGGGCGGTCTTGCTCTTTTTCGCTGACCCTCCATTTCACCAATCATGATATTCTTCTCCAGGGACTGGTTCCTCCTGATATGTCCAAGGTATGAGAGATGAAGTCTGACCATCTTGGCTTCTAAGGAGCATTCTGAATGTACTTCTTGCAACACAGATTTGTTCATCTGGCAGTCCATGGAGCTTTTAATATTCTCTTCTATCACCATGACTAAAAGGCATCAATTCTTCTATGGTCTTCCTTATTCACTGTCTATCTTTCACATGCATATGAGGCGATTGGAAATATCTTGGCTTGGGTGAGGCGCACCTTAAATCTCAAACTGATATCTTTGCTCTTGAACACTTTAAAAAGGTCTTGTACAGCTTTGCCTAATGCAATATGTCATTTGATTTCTTGACCGCTGCTTCCATTAAGTGTTGATTGTAGACCCAAGCCGAGTGAAGTCTTTGACAACTTCAATCTTTTCTTCATTTATCATGATTTTATTTATTGGCCCAGTAGTGAGGAATTTTGTTTTCTTTACAATGAAGTGCAACCCATACTGAAGTCTGTGGTCTTTGATCTTAATTAGGAAGTATTTTAAGTTCTCTTTGCTTTCAGGAAACAAAGTTGCATCATTTGCATATCACAGGTTGTTAATGAGTCTTTCTCCAATCCTAATACCATGGTCTTCTTCAAATAATCCAGTTCCTTGGATTATTTGCTCTACATACAGATTGAATAAGTATTATGAAAGAATATAATCGTGGCACACATCTTTCACGACCTTAAACCATTTAGTGCCCCCTTGTTTGTCATGAGGTTCCTCAGGAGCACAATTAAGTGTTCTGTAATAAGCATTTTCCCCAATGTTGTCCATAACTTGTCATGATCCACACAGTCTAAAGCCTTTGCATGGTCAATGAAGCACAGGTAAACATCTTTCTGGTATTCTCTACTTCCAACCAAGATCCATCTGATATCAGCAATGATATCCCTCATTTCATGTCCTCGTCTGAATCCAACTTGAACCTCTGGAAGTTCTCTGTCAATGTACTGTTGCAACTGTTTTTAAATTATGTTTAGCAAAATTTTATTTGCTTGTGATATTAGTGATATTGTCCGATGGGTGATTTCCACATTCTGTTGGGTCGGTCACCTCTCTTTAGAATGGGCACACGTATGGATCTCGTCCATATATTTTTTTTTCTTCCCATATCTTTTTACAATCATTCAGTGATGAAAAGTAATGTGCAATCACGACTTGAAAGGTCATAGTATACCCTTAAACACATATTTTAAGTGAAAGTAGTCTGAAGAAGTTACATACTGTATGAGTCCAATTAGATGACTAGAGTCTGGAAAAGACTAAACTATAGAAACAGGGAAATGGTCAGTGGTTATAGGGTTTATGGCCTTGAAGAGAGGGGAGAGATGAATACGTGGAGCATAGGCCATTTTCTTTGTTTTTATGAAGTGTTGTCGATTTTGACTCATAGTAACCCTTGATAGGGTATCCAAGGAGCAACTGGTGGATTTGAACTGCCTACTATTGTGGTTGGAGTCCTGGTGTGGCGCTGTGGGTTAATGCTCCAGACTGCAAAGTCATTTGGATCACAAGGTCGGCAGTTCAAGCTCACCAGTTGCTCCTTGGAAACCCTATACAGGGTCGCTATGAGTCAGAATCGACTTGACGGCACTTAACAACAACAACTATTGTGGTTAGTAGTCCAGTGCTTATCCTAGGCACCACACCTGGTGAGCACTGAAATCCTGCTGCAATGGTGGACATATGACATGAATTTGCCAAAATCATAGCAGCATAAAGCACACGGGTGAGTCCTACTCTGAACAACAAGCTGTGGTTACCAGTCTATCAGCATTGGTTCATCACTGGGGGCAAGGGGCTGCACTGTCTGCACAGACTTTCTGTGAACCTAAATCTGCCTTAAGGTCTATTAATAAACACCACCATGCTGCAGCCCAAACAGGCATGTTTGAAGCTGGGTGTGGTTGAAGGACGGGGGCGGGGGTGGGGTGGGGTGGTTTGCAGCCCTTCCCAATGATCATAAAACTGGGTAAGGCAAATTCTGGGAGAGTTTGAATTACCTGCCTTTCCTGTCCACACTGATCAAAATAATCAGATAAACCAAATCAAAAGTACGTTGTAAATAGTATAGACCTGGCATTTAGCTATTTTATATCCACAATGGAGCCCTGGTGCCGGGCTGTAGGATAAGCACTGGACTGCTAACTGAAAGGTCAGTAGTTGAAACACACCAGCTGCTCCTCAGAAACCCTATACAGAATCTCCTTGGGTTGGTACCAACTCGACGGCACTTAACAACAAACAACATACCCACAATGTGAAGTTGAGTTAAAAAGGATTTTGAAGTGTGCATTATTTTGATATAATTAAGTCTCTAACTAGGTGTGTTGCTGTTAGTCCGTTGAGTCAGTGCTTTATAGCAACCCCACCCACAACAGAGTGAAACGATGCCTGGGTATTCCCTAGGACGGGGTTGTGGATCAAACCATTGTGATCCATAGGGGTTTCATTGGCTGCTTTTCACAAGTAGATCACCAGGTCTTTCTTCCTAGTCTCAGTGTAGATGCTCCACAGAAGCCTGATCAGCATCACAGCAATGCACAAATCCCCAGTGTGACAGTGTGGCTTCCCATGAGGAGGGTGCAGGACTGGGTATTTTGTTCCCTTGTGCATGAGATCGCCCTGTGTCTAAGCTGACTTCATGATAGCTAACCACCCCGCTATATTTTTATTAGGGAAGGCAGGGAAAAACACATTCTGGCATCAAGAGATGCCCAGGAAGCAGGACACGCTCAGCCAGACCCAATTGTAGACCCCCACTGGTTTGACCCCCTTGTCTTCTCCTGTTCTAAGCCTATAGTGTAGTCTAGCGTATTAATAACCGCAACAATGGTATTTTTATTGAACCCTTTAAAATGAAACTATCCAAATACCCCAACCTCTGGAGAATTGAGGATGTTTGCAAACCACTGCTTTGTCAGAAGGTCTCGACAGGCTCTGCAAACATTGATGAAAATTTGGAGGAAAAAGTACATTTGAGTTTGCCTTTGTTGTCATAGTATTCAACAGGCAGAACGGTTTTCATTTAGTCTTGGTTTTGGAAAGTAAAGGGTTTGGAAGTGGTCATTACTGGCTTGTCCGTGAATCATCTGGGACAGACCCAGAGTAGGGTATTAGCAGGCAACACCTACTGAGCTTATACTCAGGGCTGGTCCTGGTTTAATCACTCCTGTCATGAGCAGTGATTAGGGTTTAATCACTGTTACCAGCGCTGATTCGTGGGGCCACAGCCGCCCAGTCAGACGGCCTCCCTAGCTGCCCTGATTCCCTGAGGCACAAAGCCTTCCGGAAGTGACACCGGAAATGGCGCTGCCACGCGCACTGCCCCAGAAGACGCAATGTTGTAGTTCGTCGTCGTTCTGTGGGCTCCCGCTCAGGACGGCGGTGGAGAGTCGAGGGTCATGCTGGCCTGATAAGGGCAACATCCGCGTTGAGGGAGGACGATGTGGTCTCTGAGCAGCCAGCACGGCTGCTCCTTTCTCTCCTGCCTCAGTGCAAACGCAGGTCAAACGACAGGTTGCAGGTCAAGGTTATGGCAAATGGTCCACACGACAACCCCGAGTTTTCGTTTTGTTTTCTGGGTCACCTCCTCACTATCCCGCTTTCCCCACCATGACGAGGCGTCACGTTTAGTTATTGATCCTCTTGGGGTAGAAGCAGAAAGAACTTGGGTTCAAAGGTGGGCGGAGGAAGCGACCGGAGACCTAGGCCTATCCTTTCCCCGGATCCTACGGCTCCGTCCGCCGAAGGTCCCTCTAGGCCGCGCCGCTCTACTCCCCGCGCGATCGACGTATTTCTGCTCCAATAGGAGACGGGCGTAATCTCGGGTCCGCCCCTCTGCGAGGGACCGCGCACGCACAGTCACCTCTGGGTGAGGCTGAGACGAATCACGGACCCGGCCGCCCTCGTGAGCGGGGGAGGAGCCCGTGGACCATGGAGGTCCTCGGGGACCCCGTCGCTGCCATGCCGTCTTCGGGCGGCCGGCGGGCCCAGGTGGTAGGTGCTGGGTCGCGCGGGGGAACCCCAGGACGTCCCGCTCCTTCCCTTTCAGCTCCCCACCGCCACCCTCCCTGCTCCCTTCGCCCACCTTCCCTTCCCGTTCCTTAATTCAGCTCTCCGCCCCACAGTAACGTTTAAGCACCAGAGAAGAGTGAAGTTATAGAACGAGGATTTTAACAGGTTCTGGGTGACTTTGCCTACCTTACGTTACCGCGGGGCGGTGTCCCCAGGAACCAGGTGAGGTGAGGCAGCGCCTTACCTGGCCCGGCGAGAGGCCCAGGCTTGTGACTTCACTGTGGTCAGCGAGCATCTTAGAAATAGGCCAAGGTTTAGACCTGGGGCGGTTTGCTGCTGTTTTATTAAATGTTAAGGCAAATCTTTTTCAATGCCCTCGTTTGACAGAAAATCACGATATAAGTTGTATTATAGGTATGAGGACGGTAAACATTCTTTTTAAAAAGTAATTCTAAAGTAAACCAGTAGACTAGGGAACTAGTTCTGTGGATTGAATATAAATCCCAGAAAGGATTGGATTCGTCAGTGAGGAACTGAATTGAATTCTGTTTTCCTTGTTGTGAGGTGCTGTGGAGTCGGTTCTGATTCATAGTGACCTTGTATGGGTTTGCACTGCTGACCTTGTGGTTAGCAGTCCAGTGCTTATCCTGTAGGTGCCTCATGAGTTCATATTTCCCTTACTCATACCCATAAAGGTTTTCATAACCATAATCACATGATCAGTGCTGTCCGCTTGATGACGACCCATGGTGGACCTGTCCTGCCTCATCCGCACAGTAGTTTCGTGTTCGAGTCCATTGTTGCAGCCACTGTCCATCCATCTCATGGAGGGGCTTCCTCTTTTTTGCTGACCCTCTGCTTCACCAAGCATCATGTCTTCTAAGACTGGGCCCTCGGGATAACATGTCCTAAGCACTTAAGGTTTCATCCTTCTCACTAGTAAGAGCATTCTGGCTATATTCTAAGACAGATGTTCGCCATGGTATATTCAGTACTCTTTGCTAACACCATGATGCAGGTACAGCGATTCTTCCATCTACCTAATTCATTGTCCAGCTTTCACATGCATTTGAAGTCGCTGAAAATACCATGGTTTGGGTCCAGCACACCTTAGTTCTCAAAGTAACGTCTTGGCTGTAACACTTTAAAGAGGACTTTTCCTGCAGATGTGATGCAATATGTCATTTGATTTCTTGACTGCTGTTTCCATGGGTGCTGAGTGTAGTTCCAATAAAATGAAACCTTCCACAATGTCAGTCTTTTCTCCATTTACATTAATGTTGCTTATTAGTCCAGCTGTGAGGATTTTTGTTTTCTTTACTTTGAGGTGTAATCCATATCAATGAAGGCAATAGTCTTTGATCTTCATCAGTGTTTCAAGTCCTCTTCGCATTCAGCCAGCAGGGTTGTATCATCTGCATATCACAGGTTGTTAATGAGCCTTCCTCCAATCCTGATGCTGTGTTCTTCATATAGTCTAGCGTCTCAGATTATTTGTTCAACACATTGATTGATTGATTGTTGTTAAGTGCTGTCGAGTCAGTTCTGACTTACAGCAATCCTGTATCAGGTTTCTGAGGAGCAGCTGCTGAGTTTAAACCACTGACCTTGCAGTGTCATGCTTATCCTACATTGCCACACCAGGAATCTTATGATGAAAGGTTTCAACTCCGACACTCACTTTAAGTATCCCCTTGTTCTGTTTGAATGTCTACCTCTACCTAGTGGTGGTGGTGTGCCGTGGAGTTGGTTCTGACCTATAGCAGCACTATATAGGGTTTCCGAGACTACATCTTTACTGGGGTAGAAAACCTCATCTGTCTCCCTTGGAATGGCTAGTAGATTTCAACTGCTCACCTTGTGGTTTTCAGCACATCAAGTAACCCATCATGCTACCAGGGCTCCTGGTTCCTCATAGCACAATAAATGTTCTGGAATTCCCAGGTTTCCAATGTTATCCATGTTTGTTACTGCCCGCATGCTCAAATACTTCTGCGTAGTCAATAAAACAGACTTTCTGGTAGTCTCTGTTTTCTGCTAAAATCCAGCTGACAACAGCAGTGATAGCCCACTTTCCACATTCTTTTAGGAGTTCAACTTGAATTTCTGGCAATTCCTTGTCTGTGGACTGCTGCAGCCTTTTTTGAGTTACCATCAAAATATTTTCATGTGATATTATAATATTGTTTAATGCTTTTGCATTCTGTTGAATCACTTTTCTTTGAAATGGGTACAAATATGAATCTCTTCTAGTCAAATGGTCAGGTAGTTTCCAAATTTCTTGGCATAGATGAATGAGCACTTCTAGTGGTGAAGCAGATAGTTGAAACATCTCAACTGGTAGTCTGTCATTTCCTGAAGCCTGGTTTTTCACTAATGTCTTCAGTGCAGCTTGGACTTCTTCCTTCAGTACCACTGGTTCTTGATCATGTGCTGCATCTTGAAATGGTTGAACACCGACTGATTCTGTTTGATGCAATACTATTCCTTCCGCCTTCTTTGGATGCTTCCTGCATCTTTCAGTATTTTGTGCTTTGAATCCTTCAATATTGCCACTTAAAGCTTGAATATTTTCTTCTGTTCTTTCAGCTTGAGAAATTCTGAGCAAGCATGCTTCCCCCTTTAGTTTTCTAACTCCTGCTCTGTGCATTTCATTATAATACTTTGCTTTTCTTCTCAAGCCCCCCTTTAAAATCTTCTGTTTAGCTCTTTTACGTCTTCATTTTTTCCATTCATTTTAGCTACTCTACGTTCAAGAGCAAGTTTCAGAGTCCCTTCTGATAATCCACTTTTTGTTTTCTGTTGTTTTAATGACCTTTTTATTTAGATGTAGCATTTAAAAAATTATATGTATGTGTGTATATATATATATATATATATATGACACATAATTAACACTAATCTAATATCTATCTATGTTTTTATTTTCTTGTTTAGGAATATTTCACTATTTTTCATTAGGCTATATAGACTTGGAGGGTGAGGACTGTAATGTGTAACTATTGTATATTATTCTACACTCCTTACTATGGTAATATATGAAATTAAGACTCAATTCCTGTCAGCAGTTCTTTTGTTCATAGCTTCTTGCTGTCAAGTGTCTCTGGTTTTATTCCATACTACTTTTAGAAATTATTGGTTTTATTTGTTGGACTCTGTGAGAAAAGGGTAATTCCAGTGCCAGACCAGCTCTAAACTAACACACATCACAAAAGAAGAAAGAAACGTACTTCACATCTACCATTTGCCCAGCTGGGTTCTTTAAATACACCCCTGTCCCCCTTACTTTGTTAAAGCATTTTGTAAGGGGCTACTTAAAAGCATTTCTTTGTTGCAGCTTCTCAACAAACTAGTTGACTGAAAATGCTTATCCTGACAAGAAAAGGACCTATTCATCATTTTCACGTGTGTGTTAGAAGATACACAGATGCAAGCGAAATGATGAATGTTTATTAGTGATGATTGGAAAAACGGTACTTCCTATTGGGGGAAAATTGTTAATGCCTTTCAAAAAATTTTTTATTCTTTCCAAAAGCATCAAAAAGACCAATTCAGGAAATCTACGACATAATACATTTTACAGAGCAAAAGAATGCTAAGTGTTTGGTGAGAAGGACTAGATACCTTTTGTTTACTAGGACAGGCTTTCCTTGCAAGCCTTGTTATGAGTTATTTTGTAAATTAGGCCTGCCCTTTGGAAATGAGTATTGTGTTGATGGTAATAGAGAAGTAAATAAGTGCAGTGGAAAGGGAATTTCATTTTCTGTTTGTTAATCTATTTCTCTTCAACTCTAGTCTGTTATCCTCCCAGTCCACAATGCTGAACGTTGGTTGGATGAGTGTTTGAGATCTGTTTTGCACCAAGACTTTGAAGGCACCATGGAGCTCTCTGTTTTTAATGATGCCAGTAAGGTATTTATGGATTTCCTGTTGGGTGATTTAACCATCCTATAGTTCCGGTTAGAGTGTTCTAAAGTAAGTTTCCTTATCTACCAATGTCATTGTGCTTTCAGGACGGGTCTATGGCTATCATTGAAAGATGGAGAGTGAAGTTAGAAGATTCTGGTATCCTTGTGGTCATTGGAGGTCATGATTCTCCTTCTCCTCGAGGAGGTTGGTAAACATTTAATTTATTATTCAGCTGTAATCAGCAGTATTATCCATTTACATACATTAATAGTTTTATGATATTTATATTCTGGTGAAAATATTCTCAGTAAAGTTAACGTCTACTACTTCTTGAAAACATGTTGTTAACAGGTGCCATCAAGTAGATTCTAACACATTGCAGTGACCTCATGTGACAGAGTAGAACTGCCCATAGGATTTCGAAGACTCTGGTAGCGTAGTGGTTACGAATCGGGCTGCGAACCTTAAGGTCAGCGGTTCGAAACTACCAGCTGCTTCGCGGGAGAAAGATGAGGCTTTCTACTCCCGTAAAGATTTACACCCTCGGAAACCCTATACAGGGTCGCTATGGGTCGGACACGACTCGATGGCACATAACAACAACAACAACAACAACAACCTTTACTGAGTGAGTGCCTCCTATGCCGCCTCACTTTCTTGAAAGATTTCAATTTTTATTCTATCAATTCTTGGTGCCTTGTTCTTTGCCAATTCCTTCAATGCACCTTGGACTTCTTCCTTCAGTATCATTGGCTCTTGATCATAGGTTACCTCTTGAAACGGCTGAACATGAACTATTTCCTTTAGTATGGTGACTCTGTGTATTCCTTCCATCTTCTTTTGATGCTTTCTGCATCATTCAATAATTTACCCAGAGAATCTTTCAATAACAAAAGTTGAGGCTTGAATTTTTTCTTCAGTTCCCCCAGCTAGAGATATGCTGAGCATGTTCTTCCTTTTTGGTTTTCTGACTCCAGATCTTTGCATATTTTGTTGTAATATTTGGTTTTATCTTCTTAAGCTGATCTTTGAATTTTTCTATTCAGCTCTTGTACCGCCTCATATCTTCCATTTGCTTTAGCATCTCTACACTGTAGAGCAAGTTTCAGTGTCTCTTCTGATATCCGTTTTGACCTTTTCCTTCTTTTTTGTCTTCTTAATGACTTTTTGCTCTCTTCATGTATGATGTTCTTGATGTCATCTCACAACTCTTATGGTCTTCGGTCTTTAGTGTTTAATGTATCAAATATGTTCTTCAGATGATTTCTAAATTCAGGTGTGGGATATATTCAAGGTCATATTTTGGCTCTTGTGGAGTTGTTTTCATTTTCTTCAGCTTCAGTTTGAATTTACATATGAGCAATTGATGGTCTGTTCCACAGTCTGCCCTTGACCTTGTTTTGACTGATGATATGGAGCTTTTCCATAGTCTTTTTCCACAGATGTAGTCAATCTGATTTCTATGGATTCCATCTGGTGAGATCCATGTGTGTACATACTCATCTCTTATGCTGTCTAAAGAAGGTATTTGAAATGAATAAATCATTGATCTTGCAAAATTCTATTGTGTGTGCTCCAGCATCATTTCTATCACCAAGGCCATATTTTGCAACTACTGATCCTTCCTCTTTGCTCCCAGCCTTTGCATTCCAATTACCAGTAATGATCAATACATCTTGATTGCATGTTTGATCAATTTCAGATTGAAGAAGTTGGTAGAATTCTTATATTTCATCCTCACTGGTTTTAGTTGTTGGTGCGTAATTTTGAATAATAGTTGTATTAACTGGGCTTCCCTGTAGGTGCATGGATATTATCCTATCAAAGACAGCGTTGTACCTCATGATTGATTTAGATATGTTCTTTTTGACAATGACTGCAACACCATTCCTCTTCAATTTGTTATTCCCTGCATAGTAAACCATGTGGTTGTCAGATTCAAAATGGCCAATACCAGTCCATTTCAGCTCACTAATGCCTAAGATGTAGATGTTTATGTGTTCCATTTAATTTTTGATAACTTCCAATTTTCCCAGAGTCATACTTCGTACATTCCATGTTCTGATTGTCAATGGGTGTTTACAACTGTTTCTCTTCATTTTGAGTTGTGCCCCATCAGCAAATGGAGGTCCCGTGGGCTTTTCTCCCTTTACTCCATTCACATTTTCACGGTCAACTCTACTCTGAGGAGGCAATTCTTCCCCAATCACATTTTGAGTGCCTTCCAATTTGAGGGGCTCATTTTCTGGCACTATATCTGACAGTGTTTCTCTGCTATTCATAAGGTTTTTGGTGATTAAATATTCGTAAGTAGTTCGTGTTTCCTTCTTCCTAATCTTTCTTTGTCTGAAAGCTCATCTGAAACCTGTCCAGCGTGGGTGATCCTGCTGATATTTAAAATACCAGATTGAAGTTGTCAAGGACTTCATTCTTCTTGGATCAGCTATCAGCACTCAAAGAAGCAGCAGTCAAGAAATCAAACGACGTATTGCATTAGGCAAATCTGCTGCACAAGACCTTTTTAAAGTGATGAAGAGCAAAGATGTCAGCTTGAGGATTAAGGTGCGCCTGACCCAAGCCATGGTATTTTCAGTAACCTCATATGCATGTGAAAGCTGGACAGTAAATAAGGAAGACCGTAGAAGAATTGATGCATTTGAGTTATGGTGGTGGAGGAGAATATTGAAAATGCCATGGGCTGCCAAAAGAACCAATAGATCCGTTTTGGAAGAAGTGCAGCCAGAGTGCTCCTTGGAGGCCAAGATGGCCAAACTTAATCACTCATACATACTTCGGACATATTGTAAGGAGGGAGCAGTCACTGGCAAAGGATATCATGTTTGGTAAGGTGGAGGGTCAGAGAAAAAGAGGAAGTCTCCCAACGAGATGGATTGGCCAGGTGGCAGCATCGATGGACTCAGGAGTGGTGACAATAGTGAGGTTGGTCCAGGATGGGCAGCGTTTTTGTTCTGTTGTGCGTAAGGTCACTATGAGTCAGTACCAACTCGATGGCATCTAACAACAACAACAACAGTCTTTACTGATACTCCTGGTGTGATACTGGATCAGCTCTGAACTGCAAACCACAAGGTTGGCAGTTCTAAACCACCAGCTACTCCTTGGAAACCATATATAGGGTCAGTATAAGTCAGAACCGACTCAACGGCACTTAACAGCTACAGCAATCTTTACAGGGGAGCCCTGGTGTGGTGCTATATGATAAGCATTGGATTGCTAACAGCAAGTTTGGTGGTTCAAATCCCCCAGCTGCTCCTTGGAAACCGTATATAGGGTGTCTATGAGTTGGAACTGACTTGATGGCACTTAACAATAGTTTTTATGGGAGCAGAGTGACATTGCTCTCTTCCACAGAGCAGCTGGGTAGGTTCAAACCACTGACATTTCGGATAGCAGCCAAGTGTTTAACTGTTGGGTCACCAGAGCTCCTTATTCATAAAATACTTGACCTAATTAAAAAATTTTTTAAAAAGGATTTTGTACTCATTCTTTACTTTTTCAGTCTAACAAAAAATCCTGTTAGGTATATTTATTTATTGGTTACCTGTACTTGTTAACCACCATTCATCTGCCAGTTAGTTCCCATGTGGTGGCTTGCATGTTTTGGTGATGCTAGACGTTATGCCACCAGTATTTTAAATACCAGCAGGGTTACACATGGTGGAGAGGTTTCAAGCTGAGCTTTCGGGCTAAGACAGACTAGGAAGGAGGAGAGATGGACCACTAAGGTTAGTGATGATGAAATTGAAGAATTCTATCAACTTCTTTTCTCTGAAATTGATTGAACATGCAATCAAGATGTATTGATAGTTACTGATGATTGAAATGCAAAATTTGGAAAAAAAGAGGAAGGATGAGAGGTTGGAAAATATGATCTTGATGATAGAAATGACACTGGAGATCAAATGCTAGAAATTTATAGGACCTATGATTTCTTCATTGCAAATACCATTTTTAGATTACATAAAAGATGGCTATACACATGGAGCTCCCCAAATTGAATAAACAAAAATCAAATTGATGCCACCTGTGCAAAGAGACAGTGGGAAAACTCCTTATCATCAGCCAACACAAGGCCAGGAGCAGACAAATAGACCATCAATTGCTCAAATGCGTTTTCATGCTGAAGCTCAAGAAAACTAAAACAAGTCTCCAACACCCAAAATACGACTTTGCATCTCTCACCTGAGTGTAGAGATCATCTGAAGAACAGATTTGATGCATTAGACACTAAAGACCAAAGGCCAGAAGAGTTGTGGGATGACATCAAGAACATCATACAGGAAGAAAGCAGAAGGTCATTAGGAAGACAAGAAAGTAGGAAAAGACCAAAATGGATGTCAGAAGAGACTCTGAAACTTCCTTTCCAGCATAGAGATGCTAAAGCAAATGCAAGAAATGAGGAGGTAAAAGAGCTGAGCAGAAAAATTCAAAAGTCATCTCCAAAAGACACAGTCAACTGTTAGAATGAAATGTGCAGAGACCTGGAGTTAGAAAACCAAAAGGGAAGAATGTGCTCAGCATTTCTTAAGCTGAAAGAATTGAAGAAAAAATTCAATCCTTGACTTGAAATATTGAAGGATTCTATGGGGAAAATATTGAATGATGTGGAAAACATCAAAAGAAGATGGAAAGAATATATAGAGTCATTGTACCAAAAATAAATGGTTACTGGTCAACCATTTCAAGCAGTAGCGTAAGAGTAAATGCCAGTGGTACTGAAAGAAGAAGTCCATGGTGCACTTAAGGCACTGGCAAAGAATAAGGCTCCGGGCATTGATGGAATATACATTAAAGTGTTTCAACAAAGTGATGCAGCACTAGAGGTAGTCACTCATCTATACCAAGAACTTTGGAAGACAGCTACCTGACCACTGATTGGAAGAGATCCATATTTGTGCCCTTTCCAAAGAGAGGTGACATAAAGAATACAGAAATCATTAAACAATATCATGAATATTAACATTCAAGTAAAATTTTGCTGATGATAATTCACAAATGACTGCAATAGTACATTGATTGGAAACTGCCAGAGGTTCAAGCTGGATTCAGATGAGGAAGTGGAATGAGGAATATCTTTGCTGACGTCAGGCGGTCTTGGCTAGAAGCAGAGAATACTGGAATGATGTTTACCTGTGCTTTATTTGACTATGCAAAGGCTTTCAACTGTGTGCATCATGACAAGC